AGAAAAACTGTTGACAAAAATCAAACATCCCTTTGAGATAAAAGTCCTCAAGAGATTAAGAATACAAGGGACATACCGCAAAATAATAAAGGCAGTTTACAGCAAGCACATAGCCAACATCAACTTAAATAGAAAGAAATTCAAAGCAATTATACTAAAATCAGGCACAAGACAAGGTTGTCCACTCTTTCCATACCTATTTAATATAGTACTTGAAGCCTTTGCTAAAGCAATTAAGACAATTGAAGGAGATCAAGAGTGTTCTGTGATGTTTTACTCTTTTGTCTTGTTGCAAGGGTAGGGTCATCCCCAGCTCCCAGATGGAGACTTATTCTTAGCTAAGAATGCCTGGTCTTAGCTTGGCTTGTTCCTTGCCAGCTTTTCTTGACTTAAATTATCCCATCTGTCTTGGGCCTTTCTCTATTCCTGTGTACCTTTTTTTTCCTTCTTACTCCATGTCTGGTTGTGTAGCTGGGTGACTGTGTGATTGGCCCCTAAAGTCCTCCTTCTTCCTTTCCTCTCTTGTTTCCCAATCCTTTCTCCAGATTCCTCCTCAAATTTATCTTCTCTGCCTGCCTGCCCTGCCTATTCGTCTCCCCTGCCTCGCTATTGACCATTCAGCTCTAAGACGCCTTAAAATAGTATTTCCCAAAACAAAGAGATTAAAAATTGGGAAGGAAAAATAAAATATCTTTTATTACACATGATATTATAGTATACATAACTCCCCAAAATTCCACTGGATTACTATTCTGATACTCCTACAGCTAATAAACACTTTCATCTAAGTAGCTGGACACCGAATTACCACTCAATAATCAATAGCCTTTTTATATGCAAATGATTAACAGACTAAGAAAAAAATTGTGTAACAATATCTTTCATAATACCCTCAAATAATATGAAATACCTTGGGTGTAACTCTAACCAAACAAGTGAAAGACTTGTATAATGAGAACTTTAAGACATTGAGGAAAGAAATTTAAGAATATACCAGAAGATGGAAAGACCTCCCATGTTCATGGTGGGGTAGAATTAATATAGTAAAAATGTTTACCAAAAACAATCTACAGATTCAATGCAGTTCCCATCAAGATTCCAACACAAGTCTTCACAGATTTTGAAAGAGCAATTTAATTTCATATGGAAGCACAAAACACCCAGGATAGCAAATACAATCCTAAATAATAACTCCTGGAGGTCTCACCATCCCCCATCCCAGCTTGTGCTACAGAGAATAAACACAGACACATTGATCAGTGGAATCATATTGAAGACCCAGACATAAATCCACACAGCTGTGGACACCTGGTTTTTTGATAAGCCAGAAATACACACTGGAGAAAAAGACAGCGTCTTCAAAACATGGTGCTGGTCAAATGGATGGCTATGTGTGAAAGAATGCAAGAGAACTCACACTTTATCACCCTGCACAAAACTCAATGTCAGATGTATTGGAAACATCAGCATAAGGCCTGCTACACTGTACCTGATGGAAGAGAAAGCGTGGAACAGTCTTGAACTCATTGGCCCAGGAGGACTTTCTGAACAGAGCACCAATGGCACAGTTACTAAGACTGACAGTTAATAAACAGGACCTCATGAAGCTGAAAAATGTCTGTGTGGCAAAGGACACCATCATTCAGACAAAGCAGCAGCCTTACAGAATGGGAAAAGGTTTCTGTCAGCTACACATCCAATAGAGGGCTAATATCTAAAACATATTAAAAACTTAAAAATATAACTGGACACCAAGAAAAAAATCCAGTTAACAGATAGGTTGCAGGGCTAAATAGAGAGTTCTCAAAAAGTAAAATAGCTGCCTGAGAAACACTTAAATGTTCAACATATTTTGCTATCAGGAAAATGTAAATCAAAACTGTTTTGAGATTTTATCCTACAACAGTGAGAATGACCAAGGTCAATTTAAAAAACTGACAGTCCATGTTTGCAAGGATGTGGGGTTAGGGGAACACTCATCCATTGCTGGTGGAAGTGTAGACTTGCATAGCCATATGGAAATCTGTGTGGTGGTTCCTCAGAAGCTGGGAATAGATTTATTGCAAGATTCGGCTGTACTACTCTTGAGCAGATATCCATTAGTACTCTACATCCTACTACAGAGACACTTGCTCAACTGTGTTCATTTCTGCTCTAGTCATAATTGTCAGAAATTGGTAATGACCTAGATTTCCATCAATGGGTAAATGGTTATGTAAGAGTAATTGACTATGGGGGAGGGTTGAAACTCTGTAGGTATGGGAAATAGATAGTTATGGATGGATGGGAGATGAGTGAGATGAGTGGGAATGGAAACAAAGAATCCAATAGAGAGGGTAAGGGAAGACAGGGCTAAAGGACAGTTAAAACTAAAGGCCATCTGTGGGGTCCTATGCAAACCTAATACAGTAGTAGCTTCCTAAAATATATACATACATGAAGGTTATCTAAATGGAATCCCCAAATAATGGGGAGATGAACCAACTGGATATCTCTTATCACCAAATGAAGCTTCCAGTTCCAGGAATGAGATACATCTGATCTAGTTGTTGACCAAAGTGACCCCCAAGAAGCCCCCAAACAACCAGGCTATTGCCAAGGCTAAGAACAGGTCCTCAAAGTGAGATACACACCTCTATACTAATTCACAGCTTGCTGCTGTATCTGTCAGAGCTGATTCTTTAATTGTAGGTCATTTTGGAATATAAAATCCCCATAGTTAATGTGGAATAGTCTGGTTATGGGAACTGTTTAGTTTTTGTTCCCTGCTGTTCCATAAGCACACAAACTGTCTCCCAGTGTAAGATTCAGCTTGTTTCTAAATACACTGTTTCTTTTTAATATGTGACTATAGTGATCTGTTTCTTAAAGGCTTTTGTTTTTCCAACTGATAAAATGAAAGTGTGTATGTGTGTGTGTGACAGAGAAAGAGAGAGGGAGAGAGAGAGAGAGAGAGAGAGAGAGAGAGAGAGAGAGAGAGAGAGAGAGAGAGAGAGAGAGAGAGAGAGAGAGAGACTGAGAGATTTACAGTATAGTTAGCCTGACTAGTCCAACAATGGCTAAGAACCTGGTAGTTCAGTCCTTGAGGCTGGATGTCTCCGCTGACCTTTAATCAGTGTCAGAATTCCGAAGAAGGAGATTCTGATACCAACAAAGGAATGCCCCACAGCAAGATAGATGAACTTGCCAGCAAGAGTGAGGGCAAGCAGGCAAAAGCAAACATTTCCTTCATTCCTGTCCTGTATGTGGGTTGCCACCAGAAGGTATGGGCCAGATTGAGAGTGGGTCTTCCCACATAAACTGATCCAGTTAAAAGCTCATGTGCCTGCTAGCTGCTTAGATTTTAGTTGATTCTAGATATAGTGAAGTTAACGACCGAGATTAGCCATCATAGCCTGAGTTTTAGCTTTTATAGTTCAAGGCTAACGCCTCAGTCTTCCTATGCCGTGCTAAAGTGTCTTCCTCTTGTTTACACTGTGCTGTCTTATCCTTGGTTCTGCCCCAAAGCTATCCTTCACTGGGACCTCAGCAGTTGTCTTTAGACTGCACCGTTGCTCTTCAGTTGCTTCAGTTACCCAAATCCCCTTAAAGCTTGGCTTCTGTGTATTTGAGGGGCAGACGTGGCCGCTTCCTCCGTTTTTCTAAAAATATGTGTGCACTTATCTGTCCAGTGCTTTGAACATTTGGCTGAGCATGGTGGCTCATGCATGCATGCATTCCAGCATTGGGGAAACAGAAGTGTATGTGGGGGTATCTCTGTGACCAGCCTTGTCAACACAGAAAGCAGGCCAGCCAGCACTGAATAGTGATACCCTGTCTCAAAACAAGCAAACAAACAAAAAATAAACAAACAAGGATTTTAATATCATTCTATCAAAATTTTCAATGATACTTGTTTTGCTAAAAGATGCTTAATCCCTATCAGAGTTCCACCATTTTATCAGAAAGGTGTCTGTTGCAAGCCATGTTTGTTGCTGCTTTTATGGGCTGTCTAATAGCCAACGATAATACTCTTAGTCACATAACACCTGAAACTTCATGCTTTCATGGGCTGTCTAATAAGCAACGATAATACTGCTAGTCAGATAATATCTGAAACTTCATGCTTTCTAAAACCTGGTTTAATGACAAAGCAGCCCTGGTCTAATCTAAGTTGTTCATCACTTGGGTTGAATGAGACTTTGAGGACTCAGTAGATGTTGGTTGGGCTTTTCAGATTAACATTTGTTCTGAATGAGTCTCAGGCTTGAAAGACCTTGAATAGTTTCCACTTTAGATATTTGAATCATGCAAAAATGAAACTTCCTCTCATAACAATGACTCCTTAAATACCCACTTTTTCTTTCAGCTATAATGAATTTCTGATAGTAGCTTTATGTTCTCCTAATTGGAGTTTCCTTTATTAATATTGCCATGTCACACACTCCCAATTGAATTTATCTGTAAAGAAAAATATTGGCATATGACTTTCTAAAAGTCTGAAATTCAGCATATAACTTGGATCAACTTGAATAGAGGAACCTGTGTCTCCCTTTCAGTGTGTCATGTTGCATTTCAGAGTTATTTGAATTTTAAATACATGTGACAGTATGCATACAATCTCACCATTGCTGCAAACATGGGCCACTCCTAGCAAATGTTAGGGATGTTGTGTGAAAAGTAATTTATTGGGGGAAGGGAGCACATTGGTTCTTTTCACTTCAGGACGTTCTTCTGTAGTCTCCATGTCAACTGTCACAGTTGTATTTTCCTATGGTTCTTCTGAGTAATTTGGTCACTGACTGGTCACTAAAATGTCACCTAGCAGCTACATTCTGTCCTTTCTGCAGACAGAGAGGGGTCTTCATATAGAAGTCTCCCTTCTGTTCTGAAGCACACAGAATGAGGTCTTCCCCAGGGAAAGACAGCACATACATGACAGGTATTTCTAAGGTCTTTTAACACTGTTTTTATGTGATCAGAAAAACATTAACTTACTTCCCTTTCCCTTTGAACTCTAGGCATCAATACCTGCCCAAAGGCCAGTCCACCTCATACGACAAGCAACACAACCACAGAGGCTCAGGGAATAAATGGGAGGACACCAGCAAAACGCTCAGCTGCAAGTCCAAAGCCACAAGGTTTGTATTCTGGGGCTCTGTGACTGGTGAGGTTTAAGAGCTGCACAGAAGACTGAATACAGATAATTTGAAGTGTATGTCACCTGCTCAGGTGGAGACCAGTGTGTTTGCTCTGCTCCTCAGACAGGGTACACATTCTTTATTATAATGCTCTGTACATTGCTGAGTTGTTTTTTTTTTTTTTTCATTTCAATGCTAAGGCTTTCTGAAAGAAATTTTTAAATGAGTTTAACATATGACCCACTAGACTCTGGAAATCTGGCCACTGCTGTGTTCATAGTGGGATGAAGTATGGTTGTCAAGCAAAGTCAAATAACTGGTGACTTACATAACAAACCTAATGGTGAGCTTGTCACCTTTAGTTCTGGCCTTGTCTCCCTCTAAAACAGTAAAGTGGCATAGACATAGAAAGTTTTTAACCTTGATTTAAGCTATTTTATGTGCAAAACACAAGGCAGTACTTTGCTCAGTAGACCCGAGTTAAAAGATAAAAAATGAGAGTAAGCTGAAATTAATATAATTCTGGTTTTTATAATTGCCCAGATTTTTTTTAAAGTTTGGTATTTAAAAGGCCTTTGCAGCTTTGCTTGTTTGGAAGAAGCATTACTTCACTACAATGTTTTCCAGTCAGTACACTGAGAAAACCAAGCCAGAGATCTATCGACCACATACCAAACCAACCTGTTACCTAGGGAAACAACAATGGCCTGATTTTTGTTGTTTTGTAGCTTAATGTTTAAATCAACGTATTGTTACTTCAATTATTATTTACTTCCTATCTTAAATGCAGGCCAGCTATGTACAATTTTCTTTAACTACAGGTACTAAAGAAATCACAAAGTAGATGCTTTCTTGAGACACTCTTCCTTGTTCATTGGCCCATCCCTGGTGCTCATGGCTAAACTTCTAGCCCATCTTTTACAGTGAATGACTCTATACTCCAATGTGTCTTTGCCTATCTGGGCTTCCATTAAAAAAAAAAATCACCAACTGGGTAGCTACTTAATAATAACAGTTCAGTTTTTTGCAGTTCTGGTGGCTGGGACCCTGAGAGCCAGGTTTCTGATTCATGTGAAATAGTAGCCAGAGCTTGTGGTCTCTCTGGGGTATCTTTTTTATTTATTTATTTAAAAAATATTTTTCATCTTACGTACTAACTCCAGTTCCCCCTCCCTCCCCTTCTCCCACTCCCCCCATCTAACTCCTCAGAGGGGTTAAGGCCTTAACTGGGGAATCAACCAAGTTTGTCATACCAAGCTGAGGCAGGGCCAAGCCCCTCCTCCCTGTATCAAGGCTGAGCTAGGTATCCTATCATAGGCAGTGGGCCCCCCAAAAACCAATTCTTGCCCCTGAGGTAAGTCTTGGTGACACTGCTGCACCCCCCCCCCCATGCAACAGATCAAGTCAAATAACTGTCATGAACATTCAGAGGGCCTCATCTGGTCCCATGCAGGTTCCCCAACTGTCAGTCAATAGACCATGAGCTTCCTCTAGCTCGGGTCAGCTGTCTCTGTGGTTATCCCCAAAATGCTCTTGACCCCTCCTTGTTAATATGATGCCTCCTCCCTCTCTTCAACCAAACTCCAGGACCTCAGCTCAACACTTGTCTGTGGGTCACTGCATCTGCTTCCATCAATTACTGGATGTAGGTTCTATGATGACAATTAGGGTAGTCACCAATCCCATATAGGGGAAGGTCCATTTAGATACCCTGTCTACTATTGCTAGTAGTCTTAGCTGGGGTCATCCTTGTGGTTTCCTGAGAATTTTTCTAGCACCAGATTTCTCCCTAACCCCCTAATGTCTCTCTCTCTCAAAATATCTCTTTCATCCCACAACTCAGTCTTCTTGATCTCTCATGTTCCCATCCCCCATCCTTTCCTTTCTACCCCCTCCCAGTTACCCAGGATATCTTAACTATTTTCCCTTCCTGAGGACTTCCATGTATGTCCCTCTTAAGCACTCCCGCCTTTACCTACCTTCTCTGGGGGTATGGATTGTAACCTGGTTATCCCTTGCTTTATAGCTAATATCCATCTATGAGTGTATATACACTGTGTCTTTCTGTAGGCTGCTGTTTTGTCTTGTTGTTGTCTATGTTCTTTGCCTTACAGAAGTGTCTCAGTTTTAGGAGGTTCCATTTATTAATTGTTGCTCTCAAATTCTGTGCTACTGGTGTTATATTTAGGAAGTGGTCTCCAGTGAAAATGCATTCAAGGCTCCTTCCCACTTTTTCTTCTAAGAGTTTCAGTGTAGCTGGATTTATGTTAAGTAAGGTCTTTGATCCACTTGAGTTTTGTGCATGGGGACAGATATGCATTGCATTCTTGTACATGTTTACCTCCAGTTATGCCAGCACCATTTGTTGAAGATGCTTTCTTTTTCCCATTGTTTAATTTTGGCTTATTTGTCAAAAATATTCATAGGTGTGTGGATTGATATCAGGGTCTTCAATTCCATTCCATTGGTCCACCTGTCTATTTTTATACCAGTATGAAGCTGTTTTTATTCCTGTAGCTCTATAGTAGAGCTTAAAGTCAGGGATGGTGATGACTCCAGAGGTTCCCTTATTGTATAGGATTGTTTTGACTATCCTGGGTTGTTTGCTTTTCCATATGAAGTTGAGTATTGTTCTCTCAAGGTCTGTGAAGAATTGTGTTTGGGTTTTGATAGGGATTGCACTGAATCTGTAGATTGCTTTTGACAGGATTGCCATTTTTATTATATTGATAACACCTATCCAAGAGCATGGGAGATCTTTCCATTTTCTGATATCGTCTTCACTTTCTTTCTTCAAAGACTTAAAGTTCTTTACATACAGGTTAAAGTTCTTTACATACAGGTTAGAGTTACCACAAGATATTTTATGTTATTTGTGGATATTGTAACCAGTGATGTTTCTCTGATTTCTTTCTCAGCCCATTTATCATGTATATATAACAGGGCTACTGATTTTTTTTAGTTAATCTTGTATCCTGCCACATTACTGAAGGCGTTAGGAGTTCCCTGGTAGAATTTTTATGGTCACTTATGTATACTGTGATATCATCTGCAAATAGTGAAATTTTGAAGTCTTCCCTTCTAATTTATATCCCCTTGATCTCCTTTTGTTGTTTTATTGCTCTAGCTAGAAGTTCAAAACTGTATTGAATAGATATGGAGAGAATGAACAGCATTATCTTGTTCCTAATTTCAGTGGGATCACTTTGAATTTCTCTCCATTTAGTTTGATGTTGGCTTCCTGTATATTGCCTTAGTTATGTTTAGGCATGTCCCTTGTATCTCTGATCTCTCCAAGACCTTTCTCATGAAGGTGTATTGGATTTTGTCCAAGACTTTCTTGGCATCTAGTGAGATCAATTGGTTTTTTTTCTTTCATTTAATTTATATGGTGGATTGCATTGACAGGTTATCATATGTTGAGCCATCTCTCCATCTCTAGGATGAAGCCTACTTGATCATGGTGAATGACTTTTTTTTTTTTTTTGGATGTGTTCTTGAATCTGGTTTGCCAGTATTTTATTGAGTATGTTTTCATCAATGTTCATGAGGAAGATTGGTCTGTAATTCTCTTTCTTAGTTGTGTTTTTCTGTGGTTTGGATATCAGGATAACTATAGCCTCATAAAAAAAAGTTTGGCAATGTTTCTTTTGTTTCTATTGTGTGGGACTACTTGGGGAATAATGATATTAGCTCTTCCTTGAAATTCTTGTAGAATTCTGCACTAAAACCATCTGGCCTGGGCTTTTTTTGGTTGGGAGACTTTTAATGACTGCTTCTATTTCCTTAGGGGTTATAGGTATATTTAAATTGTTTATCTGGTCTTGATTTAATTTGTTTTGTGATACCTATCCAGAGAATTGTCCATTTCTTTTAAATTTTCCAATTTTTTTTTTTTTGGCATACAAGCTTTCAAAGTATGACCTAATGATTCTCGGGATTTCCTCAATGTCTGTTGTTATGTCCCCCCTTACATTTCTGATTTTGTTAATTTGAATATTCGCTCTCTGCTTTTTGGTTAGTTGGGCTAAGGGTTTGATGTTTCTTAAAGAACCAACTCTTTGTTTCATTGATTTTTTAGGTATTGCTCTGTTTCTATTTTGTCTAATTCAGTCCCGAGTTTGATTGTTTCTTGTTGTCTACTCCTCCAGGGTGTGTTTGCTTCTTTTTGTTCTAGAGCTTTCAGGTGTGCTGATAAGTCACTAGTATGAAATTTCTCCACATTCTTTATGTAGGCACTTAGTACTATGAACTTCAGTTTAACAGTTTTCATAGTGTCCCATAAATTCGGGTGTGTTGTGCATTCATTTTCATTGAATTCCAGGAAGTCTTTAATTACTTTCTTTATTTCTTGATGTAATTGAGCATTGCTCAATTTCCATGAGTTTGTGGGCTTTCTGAAATCAGTGTTGTTGTATTCTAACTTTGGGCCATGGTGATTCAATAAGATACAGGGAGTTATTCCAATTTATTTGTATCTATTAGGGTTTGCTTTGTTACCAAGTATGTTATCAATTTTATAGAGGTTCTGTGAGGTGCTGATAAGGTTTATTCTTTTGGGTTCTATAGATGTCTGCTGAGTCCATTTGAATCATAACATCTGTTCCCTCATTTCTCTGTTAAGTTTCTGTCAGGCAGACCTGTCTAGTATTGAGAGTAAAATGTGGAAGTCTCCCACTATTAGTGTGTGGGGCTTGATGTATGATTTAAGCTTTAGTAAGATTTTTTTTTTACAAATGTGGGTGCCCTTGTATTTGGATCCCAGATGTTTAGAATTGAGACTTCATCTTGATGGATTTTTCCCTGTGGTGACTATGAAAGGACCTTCTCCATCTCTTTTGATGAATTTTAGTTGAAGTCTATTTTGTTGATATAACAGTAGCTATACCTGCTTGTTTCTTAGGAAAATCTTTTCCCAACCCTTTACTCTGAGGAAATATCTGTCTTGGAGGTTGAGATGTGTTTCTTGTATGCAGTAGAAGGATGGATCTGGTTTTCTT